AAATATTTTTTTTTTTAATTTTTAGGGGTCACATTCCAAAAATTTCAAATATCAGAATAGCAATTTTATTGTTTTTGTAATTCTACATCTTTATGTCTTGTACATTTTTCGGTATCTTTAAATATATATTCCTGACAGCTCTTCCTGCGAAACCTTTTTTGGGTCAAAAATGGCAGAACATGACGTAATTCTGACGTCATATGCGGCCAACCTATCATAGCTTTTGGAAAAAATTGGTCCCAATGTTTACCTTGATGCCCAGGAGAGCTCTGAAAGTTTGGTGACGATTGGCGCAGCATGGTTTTGGAGATATGTCGAAAAGTGTGGAGGGGGGGGGGGAATACCCCCCCCCCCAGGGCGCAGGTAAAAGGGCGGATTGACGGTTGCGGGAATACGCATCGAGGGAATAGGGGTCTCCATGTCTGACAGTGGGATCAATGAGATGCGCTGTTCAGCGGCAAAACGCTGCCCCATGTCCCAGTCTTATACATGTCGTAAAATGGATTTGCAGCGCAATAGCTGCAGAAAACGGTTATTGTTGCAAAATGTTTTTTTCTGCATTTTAGTCCATCGTATATCAGAGGGAAACAATCACGTAAAATACAAAATTCGCGTATGCGATAGAATCAGCTACCGGCTTGCATGAATTGCGAGCCTTTTCCCGAAGTGCGGTCTCAATCACGAGTAATTTGCATTTAAAGATCAGGATTTATTCTTAGTTAACACTATTTTTCTTTTAACATCACCCGATTTGAGTCGCTTGGCTCGCTTGGAATCGCGCCGCCTCTACGCTACTTTTGAATTAAAAGTACCACTCCAGGCAGCTGATTGCCCGTTAAAGGGACTATCCCACCTTTAAAGGAAAAGGGCCACCTTCGTGAAATATGAAGATATCGTTGTTTTTCATTTTGACATTATTATTTTTCATTTTCTTTTTAAAACTGGTGCCAGAAGTGCACAATTCGCGAAAAAGTATTTAAAACTATTTAACATATTGGTACTATGTTGATACTCTCTACGGCACCTACTGTATGATGGCATAGCGATGACGTCACACTCAAGCCAATCAGCGTTCAGAAGACAGACTTGTCGGATTGTGTCAGATAAGCTGATTGGTTAGAGCTGAGCTGGTTGGAGCTGATTGGTAAAAAACCAAAGCCTCACCGCGGGTGGCTGTATTGTCGGATAAGAACGCATTCCTGGGATAAGGACGCATTCCTGGCGTATTTTCTTTTAAAATTGCCGATAACTACGAATGGAGGCCGAAATCGGCCGTAAGGACGTAAACAGTAAGGTTTTCGGACACGGGCTACAAGATGGCTATCTCAGTTTCAATCCCCATGTTAAAGGTGGCCCTTTTCCTTTAACATGGGGTTTGAGTTGAGATAGCCAAGTTTGCGGCGAGGTTCAGAAACCACTATCTATCTAGGTTGCAACCCCCGCGGCCTCTTGGTGTTGAAGAAATTCGTTCCCTTCATTTGAAAATGGGCCTTGCGCAAGGCCCTATCTTCAACATTGAGCGACCGTTAGTGTGACGTCACCTCGTTTAGTCATTCTGATTTAGATGGGTTTGTCCGTTGAAAAATCGCTTAAAACTTGGTCTGAACTTTGTTGTGGTGCCTACAGAGTAAAAAGAATCAGCTTTATGACAGTAATGTGGCCTGGGGAAGGAGGTTATTTTGGGCTGTGACGTCACATATTTGAAAGTTTGTGTTTGGAATATGGGAAGCCTAAGATGTTTAATGAAAAATAAATACCAAAACCGTGTTCCTGGTCATCCAATCTATAAAGTCGGGCACAATTTAACTGGTTTTATTAACATTTTAGAAGGTGGGATAGTTCCTTTTAAAGTGGAACATAAATTTTGTACTCAACTGTACAGCTTCTTTATTTGAACGCTTTGCAATTTGCAAGAAAGAGCACTGAAATCGATTCGCCACGGCTGTGGCTTTGGATATAAGTACCACTTTAGTACCATTCACCTAACGCTGCGGCTGGATTACCAATGGTGGTCTTGACGTCATCAACCAGACCCGGCTTTGGACTCGGCGAATTCGCTTTTTGTCGGCGCCTGGCGCTTGTCGTAAACAAAATTCGTTAGGACGTGACAAGTGCTTTTCGCCCGAGCTTTTTTTTTTAATGTGAGTTGGCTCGGGGATCGGTTGTTGAATGCTAACGTTTGTATAGTCCAGTAGGTACGAGACCCATACGAATCGACTCCTAAAATCTGCGACGCTCATTCATAAGAGGTTCAGCATCAGCCGAAAAGTGATTATTTCCCTTTCACGTTCCCATAGGAATCATTCGTTTACTTGGATAGTGGATATACATTCGGCAACACCGGTATCATAATTTATAAGCTTGGGCCCAGGTTCAAAGCTGAGCTGGTTGCGCTCCACTGAAAACCAGACCCCTCCCCCATCCCCAATCCCCCACAACCCCCCGCCACCCGCCCCCCCCCCCCCCCCCCCCACCACCACAGGCTCGCACCGCGCAGCTTCCCACTCCGAATCGCGCCGCGAGCAACGGTTGTCTATACTCGGGAGTATTGTATACATAAACATAGGGGCGCGAAGGAGCGGTAGCGAATGGGGCAGGCTAACGGTTGAAGCCGTCTCCACTTCAAATTCCTACGCCTCATTTTAAAAAGGCTCAATGGTATACGGTATGCGTACAGCTATATTCGAAAATCACTTTTCGAGGCTGATAATTCACCTCTGCGAGAAACAGGCCAGAAGCTGAAGGGTACTTGGGTCAGAGTCATTAAGTTTTCAGGGTTGCTGTAAAATTGATCAACTTGAGGGTGCCTCTTGCAATTTTTGTTGCGATCGGACGCTTTTTATGCGAGTTAATCGCAAGAAATAGAATGGGATTCCTTCCGACCACACCCTTATAAATGTGAGGGTTTAAAGACGAAAGTAAATATGTTCTTGGGATATTGTTTAATCCATTTGTTGCCACAGTGAACAACATGCAGCCGGGCCATACCGCGATGCTGTCCTTACGGAACCAGTATGTACATACATCCAGTGGTCCAAAGAACTGTCCGTCATTGTACCCATCCTGGCTCCTCAAGGAATCACTGGTAATTATTTTGGGACACACTAGGTCGTAAGTGATATTACCCCGCCTATATGAGTTTCATTTCATTCAAAAAGCCGGTCTCGGCGTTCCACCTTCTCAACCCTCCTGTGGCGATCACCTGCCGACGTCCCTGCACCGCCGCCCAGAGTCGGTGCCGCCGTGCCACCCAGAGTCGGTGCCGGCAGTGCTGCCAGATTTGGAGGATTTCCGCAAATCTGGAGGATTTTGAACTCTATTTGCGGACAAATTTCGCTTTTGGAGGATTTTTGATTCTGGAGGAAAATCTGGAGGATTTGTCGCCCGATTATTATATTCAATTTCATGGAAAAATATAACACATTCAAGACTAAAAAGGCATTTTCCTGCCCAGCGTCACCCTACCCGTTAGGATATATCACGTCCTTTATCACCGTGAGACTGCAGAATGTCTCAGTCTGTAGCTATATTTACGAGGGTACCAAACTACTGGCGGATCTAAGAGGGACATTTGGGGCAAATGCCCCCGGCCCCCCTGCAGCGCCTGAAATCGACGAAAATTTTCGTTTTTTTAAGATAAAACGAAAACTCAACAACTTTTATAAGAAAAAGTATCTTTTAAACTGCACAGCAGTGCGAAAAGATTCGAAATCCGATGGGTTTTTAGTATTTGGTGAAACTTTTTTGGGGGTATAGCCCCCCGCAGCGTCCAAGACCGCCTTTCTATATCTGCCAATAGGATTTGGAGGAATCTGGAGGATTTTTGTAACTGATATAGAGGATTACAGCCTTCCCCATCTGGCAGCACTGGGTGCCGGTGCCGACGGGCCGCCGCCGCCGCCGCCCACCCCGCGGCGGTATCGGTCGCTCCAGCGAGCTCCAGCGGCGGCGCTGGCAGCGCTCCAGCTGGCCGACGCCCGCTCCGCCCCCGTCCGTCCATCCGTCCTCAGCTGGTGAACAGTGAACACAGCCCGCTCCCCGGCCGGGTCCGCCCCCGTCCCGGCCACTCCGCCCCCCTTTCCCCGTCAGCGCCGCCCGCTCCCGCCGCCCGGAATGCCGTCGGAATCTCCTCGTCCACACAGACGCCCGCCAGCGTGGATCACTGTCTTCTATGTCGTGCTCGGTCGATCAGTTACACAGTTATGACTGCTCTGCAACCTGCAGGCTCAGGTACTGAAAGGGGGCCCTGTGCTAGTGTTGATTTGATGAGGTGGAACCCGTAAAAGCTGTCATGCAGCAGCGTTGGAAATGTCAACTAATTAAATCACAATGTACATTTATGAAGGCTTCACCCTACCGTGACGTAATGATATATACCTACCTAGTACCTACAATCTACAGCATAGTCATGATCATTGATCATAATGAATTGATACCGTAACAATGATAGTCAGCTTTTGTTCAGCCTATATAAACATATAAACACTGAGCGGGAAACGCCCCCTTTAGCATTTATCTCAGAGCCTATTATTTGCATCAATGTTAGTTGGATACTTCCAGCTCGTGCTGGAAATTACACAAATGTTTATCACAGTCTAGTTGACCTTGGACGTTGGCCAGGCAAAAGAAAGTCAAACATTTCAGAGCACCGGCGCGGCACTGGCGAGTGGCGAGGACCACAGGGTCACTCAGCTCTGCACGGAGCTCCTCGCGACTTCATTGTACTTGGTTATCTTATTTGTTATAGCATTCCATATATTCGTGCACAATGCATCGAAGCAGGCCATAGGTGCACACTGCACAGTTAACCAGGTCAAGGAGCATGCATTTCAGCGATTCTAGCGAAAGACCAACGAGGCATGTGAGGGAAGACTCGTAGATTGACTTATTAGACCGCTGCAGTCAGGCAGCTGTAGTCAGTGATGGTAGGCACGGTAGTAGAGCCTCACTACGCGTATGTAGGCAGCACCAGTTGACTAACCGGCCGGTGCCCCTGGCAGAGCTGGCACAAGCACTGCTTCCACTGCGCCGACTGCAACAAGAAGCTCGACTCGCTGACACACAACGACGGCCCCGACCGCGAGATCTACTGCAAGTGTGAGTAGCCGCGCCGTCGGCACGACGGCGGCACGTGACGCCGCGTGTGTGCATGAAGGGGACACTTCACCGATAGTGTGAGGTGATCTTGGACTGCTGCCGCCTCTAACACCGCTTTTCTCAACAGCACGCCGCTGCAGCTGAATTTTGTGCATCAATAATGTTGTTAACTCATGTGTGTCCTTTGATGAGTGTCATTTTTGGTGTGGTGACCCAACAAAATGTTTTGTTTTGCCCACGACATCATTTAGATGGTGTATTATTATCCTTGCATAATAATTTGTATCTTACAATGACAGTATGAACCACTTCCAGCTCGTATCTTCATATTGTAACATTGACATGAAACGTTACAAACACAGTTCTGTTCCTACATACCTACGATCCATGCGAACAGTTATAACAACAGTTGAAGCCGTAATATAAACCTTTTACTGAAGCAAACAGCATCACCACTTGCCAGGAACACTAAATGCGAAACAACATTCCCCTTCCCAACAGACAGCTTGACTTCAGCTACTACGAGTACCTATATAAAATGCCATGCACTACACGCAATTACACTTCGTAGAATAAGGTTTCTGACAAATTTATATACCTATGCGAACGTTTTCCCTTCGTGCAATTATTCTTGTGGTGTTTGCAATCTGAGGTCACGCTCAAACATGCGAGAAAAAAACTTGCAAACGCGTTCGTGGGGTCGGGTATCAAAGCCGAACAGGTGCCATATTTCGCCACTCGCTCTGACAAGCTAATGCCGGCGAGACGGCTGCACGGCGGGTATCTGATGACCTGACCAGCGGCGCGGCGCGTCGGACCTGTTGGTACGGACCCAGGGCGACGGTGATGGCTGGCCAGCTGCGAGACAACCGCGGCGCGACCCGGTGCCAGCTCGGCGGCAACAAACGCTGGCCGGCTCGACAGCGGAGCCGCCCGTCTCGCGGCGGGCGGCTGGCCCAGGAACAGTGGGCGGCGGGCGGCGGCGGCGGCGGTGGCAGTCGGTGGTGGTGGAAACGGCAGAAAGGCGCCGAGTGTGTGGAGAACTGAGCGAGCATGGAAGGAGAAAATGCCATTAACGAACGAACGAAAAGGAGGAAGAAAGTGAAGAAGCGAAGAAACTGGGACCAGCTGAACGAACAACATAAATCTCAAACGTCTCAGGTTACGGAGCCTACCAGTAGGTGTGACGAATAGGATTTTAAGCTAAATTTAAGAAGTGTATCGTCGCGTTCAATGAATTTATCAGATGTTTACCGTTTCACCTATATTCATGAAGCCGTTTAGCATTAAAGTCGTTCAATGCCCGTTTTGTAATTTATGTAAAGATTGTGTTAACCCCATACATTATTCAATTCGGGTTGCCTTTTGAACAAGCCACTTTCCCGTTTTATTTCTTTGAATCTCGAACTCTTGCTAATGTCGTGATCATTTAATCAGCTCTGCTCAGAAAATATGAATTGTAATAGACAGTAGACACCAATGATTATCAACCGATTGCAGTTGATTTGATATGTGAGGTTCTAAGTTTGATAGTACTCTAGCCGAAATGTCCTCCCGATGTTGGTAATAAATGCTGGCTGCTGGTCTCAGAGTCGATCGAGCACGCGCGCAGCCAGGGTATGTCCAGCGGGTGGATCGGACCCATGCTGCAGGTCATCGGAGCCATGAAAAAGCTGGACGATTTCAAAGGTGAGGCCCGATGATTGCAAGATCAAGAACTGAACCGGAGCTCTGTGTGCATTCCCAGTGGTGTTTTTAAAAGCGCGATTTTCGAGACAAAGGAGGTGATTAAAGTGAAGGTGAGACGAAGCGTAACGAAGAGAGCGAGAGAGAGAGAGAGAGAGAGAGAGAGAGAGAGAGAGAGAGAGAGAGAGAGAGAGAGAGAGAGAGAGAGAGAGCAATTGCACTGCGGTAAGGTGCACATAGCCTGATGCAACAAGACCTTTATAAGAAACAAATGTAGTAATAATCCATCATGCCATTAAAGGGACTATCCCACCTTTAACATGGGGTTTGAGTTGAGATAGCCAAGTTTGCGGCGAGGTTCAGAAACCACTATCTATCTAGGTTGCAACCCCCGCGGCCTCTTGGTGTTGAAGAAATTCGTTCCCTTCATTTGAAAATGGGCCTTGTACAAGGCCCTATCTTCAACATGGAGCGACCGTTAGTGTGACGTCACCTCGTTTAGTCATTCTGATTTAAATGGGTTTGTTCGTTGAAAAATCGCGTAAGACTTGGTCTGAACTTTGTTGTGGTGCCTACAGAGTAAAAAGAATCAGCTTTATGACAGTAATGTGGCCTGGGGAAGGAGGTAATGTTGGGCTGTGACGTCACATATTTGAAAGTTTGTGTTTGGAATATGGGAAGCCTAAGATGTTTAATGAAAAATAAATGCCAGAACCGTGTTCCTGGTCATCCAATCTATAAAGTCGGGCACAATTTAACTGGTTTTAACAACATTTTAGAAGGTGGGATAGTCCCTTTAAATCCAATAGGCCACCACGCATTCTACACAGATTACATGTAAAAAACTACGCATAGCAATTCATTTAGCACTACAAAACACAACAGTGCAACATCTTCGTCAAAAACAAATGCGAGCTATTCCCAATAGGATCGCTTGAACACCTTACGATTCCACGTCATAAAATTCTGGTAACCTCCTGGCGGGAAACTGAGTCCGTCCGACCTGGCTGGGTGCCACCGGTCCCAAAACGGCGGCCTCCGACTATGTTACTAACACTACGGGTGCGCCCCAGAGCTGGCACAAGTCGTGCTTCAAGTGCGTCGCCTGCCAGCACTGGCTGGACTCGACCACACGGCACGACGGGCCGGACGGCGAGCTCTACTGCAAGCGTAAGGCCCGCTCTGGTGCAGTTAGCTAGACACTAGTCAGTGTTTGATGGGCGCGAGTCGACGACGGGGTCATTGTGCGCCCATATACCCAGAGGCCCATAGCCCATATGCGTATACGTATAGATAGAACCCTGCAGCAGAAGCTTGCTCGAAGACTGGAAGGGGCTATTGCTTAGATGCCAATTAGTGATAAGTTGAAAATCTGCTTTCGGGTAAAGTATAGGTCGCATGCCAACATTGTTTCGTGTATGATCAGTATTTAATTTGAATGGCAATATGCATTGTTTAGATTTTCTAGCATCGCCTTCTCTTCGACAATCGTCCATCACGTAGTGAATTTAATTTTAGAGAGCACTTAAGTATGGAAATGGCACTATCCTGCTAGAGAACAGATCGATCTTAGAATGAAGGTAGGAGTCATTGGAGAGGAAATGTAATAATGCACTACATGATTAGGACAATCCCAACTCCGATTGATTGGAAACGCAATGATATGAGGTCACTTATAATTAAGATGCCACACGTTAATAACAGTTTTGATGATTGTATTCACATTAATGCATATGTTTCAGACATGTGCATGGATCCGAGAAAATGGATCTGGGATCTGGTCCCACGGATCCTGATCTCGGATCCGACGGGATCATAGATCCAGCTCTCTAATTTATCGAGAGATCCGTAGCTATAAATCCCAGTCTCATTTTTTGTTTGAGATCCAGTGAGATCACAGATCCTCACTTATTTTTTATCAACACAGAAATTCCCTCCAAAACACTTACTGCAATTTACAAACGTTCTGTTTTAGTGATGTTATGTGATTGCACGTCATAATCGATAATTTTGTGGCACGCATTGACATAGAAACTCTTTTATTAATGATTTCAAATGTTGTGCATGATGGGATCCACTATGATCATAGATCCATGTTCTTTGTTTATCGTCATATCTTTAAGATCATAGATCCAAGATATTTTTTCTCGCCGGATCCGATGTGATCATAGATCCTAACCTGCAGTTTGCTTCGAGATCCACTGAGATCATAGATTCATCGCTTGGATCCATGCACAATCACATGTCTGATATGTTTATCTAAAAAATAGATAAAAAATAAACACATCCAGTGATGTATCGTTGCATGCGTAATATGATGTGCTAGACACAACTTGTAAGTACAGCGGAAACTTGTGCCTCTGTACTTTTCACTAACCTCTGCATGGTGACGCTAATGTTTGCTATAATAACTTTTGTTGCAGGCTTGTGTTATTAGAGTCAGGCGTAAAATATAACATGAATCTGTATCACTCCTTATTTCAAATTGAGTAAGTCGCTGCGCCCTGGGAAAGAATTTGAGGTGTGGAAGAAATGCATTGCTTGTTTCCAGGGAAGCAAACGTCGATTAATGTATGTAGGTGGATTTCAAATGCCAGCTGAATGTTTACTGTTCATCTTAGTTACAATGCGATCTCTAAATAGAACCGTCCGAAGCGCAGGCGCAGCTAAGTCACTGCTATCCTGCACTTTGTGTCCGCTGACCTGACGTGACCTGACCTGGTGGTCGCTGCAGTGTGCTACAACCGCCGGTTCGGCCCCAAGGGGTACGGCTACGGCGGCGGCGCCGGCGCCCTCCAGATGACCCTCACCGATGGAGTGTAAGTGAACGTGCCAAACACGCTGCATGGGCCGCCCGGTCCCAGACCGCACGACCTGCTGGTCGGTCGACGTTTTGCAATGTTTTTGTGTTTTATGTTTTATGAAGTTTAAGTTGCAGCCGTCCTAATTTATGTAACACGTTTTTGTTGGTGTGATTTTTGTCTCCCACTGTTCTAGTTGTTCCGTGTCGCTGCCTGTGCGTCGATTAACTGTGTCACTGTCCGGGGCTGACCTTTAACCGGCACGGTGCCCCGGTCCGTCACTAACAGCCGGTCTGGTTTCAGCCGGCCGGGGGCGCTGATCTGCGTGGGAGCTGACCTCCCGACGGGTGCGCGGCGCTAGGAAGCTGCTGACCGCCCCTAACTCCCCCAAACCGCTGCGTGGCTCGTGTCCGGCGGCCGCGGACCCTGACCTTTGACTGCTGACCTCTACACCCACCGGGCGGCGCAGCGCCGCTGACAGCGCCACCGGAGGCCAGCCGACACGGCCCGTTCCCCGTACAGGACACCGGGACACGGCTCGCCGAACGACTCCGGCACGTGGCGACACTGCGCAGTGCTGCAGTTGGTTGAATTTCTAACATTATTTTATTATCGATTATCTTAACCTGCCCGGTCGCCTTAAGTACCTAAATAAATACCGTACGCGATGAGCAGTAGTAATGAATTTGAAGTAAAACAGTAAAGCCTAGCGTAAAATGACATGTTCGGCTGGCAAGTGTGCAAGGAATTGAAGCTTCACGCGCGCTCTTTATGAAAACACTTAAATCGATTAGACAGCCTTATGTATATAGTCGGACTAATGACTAGCAGTTAGGCGTTACGGCTGTGCTCCACGTGCCATTTCACACTCAGAACTCTACCTGATCCCGTTTGATTTTCATTTTCATCATTAGACCTGATACTATCGGACTGCCATCACACTGCCGTACAAAGAATGGAGACAAACTGGTAGGTCATATCGTATGAATGGCACTGTCATGACACCTGCTTGGACACGATTTGTCCTCAGTTCTACCCCTCGCCCTCGGACCCGCAGTGCCCGGCTCAGCCCCGCCCAGGTCCCGCCCCGCTGACCGGTTCGTGGCCGCTGGCAGGGACGGTGAGGTAATGACCAACAAGCCGACGGTCAACATCCAGGCGTCGATCCAGGCGCCGCCCGGCCAGGGCTGCCCGCGCTGCGGAGGAGCCGTCTACGAGGCCGAAAAGAAACAGTCGCGCTTCCGGGTGAGGGCGACAGACCGAGTCAAAACCAGTTCAGCATAGGGGAGAGTGGGGAAAGATGCCCAGGGTTTTGCTATGTCATATATTATTCGAAAATGACGATCGGAAAGCAAAAACTTGGAGTTTCAACGGAAGCCGACATCATTTTTCTCCAAAAATATCACACTTTCGTGCCTGAAATATGATAACTTTTTTTGCTATTAAGCATTTTCCTGAAGAAGTGAAAGGGGGCATCTTACCCCACAGGGTGGGAAAGATGCCCCCTGGGGTTGGGGAAGATGCCCCCTGCACTATAAGTAACATGAATGGGCACGTGAATCGCCTGAACGAATCAGTAGTCCCTTCGAGCCTGCAGTAGACACCAAACGTCATCGTAAGGGCCCTCAAAAGTAGTCGTAAGGGGCTTCAGAGGTCATCGTTAGGGCCATCATAGTCCAGCGCGGCCAAACAAGCCTCCGTGGTGGCGTTCGGAGACCACTGTGGGGCCCTTATAGGTCTTCATGATGCTTGAGGGCCCTCGAGCCCATCGTGGGGACCTCAGATGCCAGCGCGGCCCGTGGAGGCAACGTGGGAGCCCTCAAAGGATGTCGTGAGGGGCCCTGGAGCCAATAATGGGGCCCACAGAGGCCGTCGTGAGGGCTCTCAGAGTCAGATGCCGCCCAAAAAGTCGCTGTGTGGGCCGAGAGACCGGCATGGGGAGCACCCGACCGTACTGGACTCTCAATAGTCCCAGATCGGCTTTTGTCTCCCATGACAAGTATGTAATAAATGATTTGACGGGCTGCTTGAAGGACAGCCTAGGGATTTAGGGGGGCGTCTTTCCCCATCAGGACAGGGGGCATCTTACCCCAAGGTACCGAAGTAACATTAAATCAGTACAATTTGTTAGCCATAAAACTATACCCTGAAACAAACTGTTTGGGACACAGTACACGCATGTTAATGTATCACGACTATAGCAAGGGACGCAAAAATTATCTACCTTCTTTGATATTTACTTTACAATGTTTTGACACCAAAATATTTTTTGAAAGCAGCAAATAAAAAACATGCAATCACCAGCCAGCCGTTGCCCAAATGAGCTTCGCAAATTTTTGTGCAGTTAACAATGCAGGCTTCCGCTTTACGCTAAGAACATTAGTTTCCAGGTTCGATTATTTGTTTCGCCGCTAGAGGGGGTGGGGCGTCTTTCCCACCCTGGGCATCTTACCCCACTCTCCCCTATCTATCTTTTGAATTAAACTTTAACTATTCTTTGTGTCACTGCGTTTTAAAGCTAGATTTACATTTTGGATTAGATATTCTTGTCGTTTTTACGCGTTTGTTGTGCCCTGATAATAATTTTCGTACGATTTATCTCCAGGATTACCACAAGACGTGCTTCAACTGCAAGGAGTGTTCTCGCATCTTGGACTCGACCAATGCCTGTGACGGCCCTGACAAGGACATCTACTGCAAGCTCTGCTACAGCAAGAAGTTCGGCCCCAAGGGCTACGGATTCGGCGGTGGCGCTGCCTTCCTGCAGTCGGACACCATCGAGTGAGTTCGGCACCAGACACCAGTGAGAAGGTGCAATAGGTTTCATTGTTATGCTTTCGTGGTTTATGTGATTGCATGTGATGGCCACTGAGGATCGTAAGAGCAAGTTTGGGGGCGAAGTTGCCGTGGCCGACCGTAGGTGCTCAGGATAATTCGTTTTCTTTTACTGGGCGTCAGGTTTTAACATTTTTTTATAAGATCGCAGTAATGCATACCATCGTAACAGATTGGACAACGCTTTCCTAAATTAGTTCCACTGAAGAGTGAGGGCTCAGACGCCCAGACCCGTCAGACTTCCCGCCGAAGCCGCCTGATGCGGTGGCGCCCAGTTGCACACACGGTGTCCGTCCAGCTGACCCGCAGGCGCGCTCGTTTCCAGATCGAACATGCCGTCGCAGGACTGGACGCGCACCGACACCACCACCATCAAGGCGTCGCCGGGCCAGGGGTGCCCGCGCTGCGGCGGAGCCGTGTTCGCCGCAGAGATGATGCTCTCCAAGGGACGCGTAAGTTCGACATTTTTAACAAACACCGATCAGGGAGAGATCAGAATACAAAGCAGCTGGACTGGCTGGCAATGTAAATTTGAAAGAACCTTATGAAGATAAGAAATGTTATCTGAAAATTGAGGACCAAAATTCGGTAAAGCCGTGTCGAAAGTTGAACCTATTTGCTAATGAAGGTAAATTACTTACCTTTCCAACAAACAGAATACGTTTTCCGTGTTTGTGATTTGTCCGGAGCCACGCAGCTATTCAGGTGCGCTTCTTGTACTGATCATACACAGTTTTCGTGCATGCCGTAGGATTATGTCAGCAGAAATGGTTCAAACGGCGAACCGAGTGCTAAATCACAATAGAAATAAATACGCCCCGGATATATTAATCTGCACTTTTGCATACCTCTGGTCTGCACTGTCTTTGAGAACGTTTTACGCAACGCGCGTGCTGATCCCGTCGTCGTCTCCGCCGGTAGGAGTGGCACAAGTCGTGCTTCAACTGCCGGGACTGCAAACGTCCCCTGGACTCGACCATCGCCTGCGATGGACCCGACAAGGACATCTACTGCAAGACCTGCTACGCACGTCGCTTTGGACCCAAGGGCTTTGGCTTCGGCCACGCGCCGACCCTGGTGTCGGGCTCTGTGGAGGAGCAGGCCCCGTAAGTGTCATCCACTAAACCGGAGAAATCGGTAATGTTGCATGTATTCCCGTCCCCCATCCCTCAGGCAATCTTACGATTGTCTCTATTTCCCGCTTAAAGGGACCCTCCCACCTTCAAAAAAGTTAATGAATTGGCATAAAAGTGATGTAGCGTGAATCACAAAGAGCGAAAATGAACATCTACCAAATTTTACCGGAAAATATTCAACCGTTTTCGAGATATAAGACTTTTATTTTTGTTTACTTTTTGGGAAATCCGCTGTTTCTATGACGTCACATAAAGGTTTTCTTTACGTCGGCATTTGGAAGCAATAATTTGGTATCAAAGTGCGACAAATATTGCGCGAATGATGCGTTTATCTTATCAAGGTCAATATATGATGGCCAACAAAGGGTTCCAGGACAATTCTTCTTATGGCATTTTTTCGTATCGCAATTCTTCGTCTGCAAATCTTCGTCAGGGCATTTATTCGTATCGCATTACTTTGTCTCGCATCAGGGTATATGAAAATCGGCTCGCATTTCTTCTTCAACGCAAATATATGCAAGAGTAAGCATTGATGGACAAATAAATGCACCGACGAAGAATTGTAGACGAAGAAATGCGGACGAAGAAATGTCATGCGAGGATTCGTTCGGGTACCATGACATTTATGTGATTTCAAAGTCAAGGTTCACAGCTGATCTGCTAAATCAAGCCAAGAATCCAAACTATCAAAAAACTATAAATATTTGTTTGTCTGTCACAGAGGTCTCAAGCAATATAAGGTTGACATATGTTGAATCAAAAATCTACTGCCACAACTCACATCTCCTGCCTTAGTTTATCATTGTTGTTGTTATCAACTTGCTTTCAAGAGAAACAGAAGCCAGTAGGTCTGATATCACTTCAGATGATTGTTTCAAGATCTGAGTTCAAATGGAATTAAAAGCAAGATCAAGATGAAACAGGGATTATTGCTGTTAAAGTAGTTTGGCCATGATACAACAGGCACATAAATCATTAGCCAAATCAAATACTGGTTGGTTTGTCAAGATGTTTATTGTCTGTCGTCTGTCGAGCTGCTATGAACACTGAACGCTCTCACTCTTACTTTAAAGAGAGTAGTTTAAGTTGAATGGTAGTGAGCTGTAATTAGACAAAGCAGCTATTCAGTGCTCACATCAAGCCAGGCTAGGAAATGGCATCAACTGTGGTGGGAGGAAGCAGGTTCGGCAGGCCTATGTTGTAAACTTCTGTTGTGTCTTGTGTTTGATCAACTGATGTTTTCTGCTCTGTTTTGTGCAGTGATAGTAGCAGGTAACTGCATGCTTGTCAAATTATGTGAATAAACGAATTCATAACATTGCATTTTTCTCTCCATGCAAGGAACAAGTAAGATGTAGAAAATGTAATAGAGGGCTGCATTGCTGATTTCATGCACTTTATCAGAGCTTTATTTAGAATTGCTTTCCTGAAAGCTACACACAGGCCACAGCACTGAAATTCACAATGTCATAGCTTTTGGCAGAAAAAAAGAAAAGACTTGCCTAGGTAAAATTGGCTGAAAGTATGGCAGAGCAGGTCTTGATGCGCATGCCCATCCGTGTGCTTGCCGAAGCCGAACTGACTGCAACACATTAACTCTGACCCACCATGGTGGCTGGCATATCCTGAACTTTCACCACTCTAAACAAGACAACTTTCAGCCCTCAGCATTGTATTAAAACACTGTACATGGCAGTTGACACTCAAAATTTGTTTCAGTGCCATCCACGGACAACATCAGTCGCCATTCACCAGGCCAGTAAAAACAGAATAGATAATAGCTTCAAACCCATGTAGTCAGAGTTACTAGGTCTGCACCTCAAAACAAAATCCAGGTGACATTCACCACGCCAGTAAAAAAACAGGTAGGTACTTAGGTAACGTAACAGCTTCAAATCTGGTAACATGTTGGTCGGACTTAACACTACCATATGTACATGGAATAATATGATACCAAACAATAGTGCAACCATTCTGGACAACAAAAGTGTATGATAAAATTAATTTAGAATACTTTGGCAGCATGATTTACGAGCACAGGCAGGTGTTACCTACCAGCCTTCTCAATGCTCGTAAAACCAACATTGTAGTTTTGATTTTACCTTACATGATAACACACTTGGCTGCAATGGCACATTTAATTTAACACTGTGAAAAGACCAGTTATAACCACTTCACAAGCACAATTGCACCTCATGCCGACATCCTTTTCCAAAGACAGTCGGCAGCGTCTTTTGTCAAAACTGGAAGATCAATCCCCTTTCAACTGTTAACATCAAAAATATTTCTTCATGGTGTGATCTCCTATGGAAACCTTGCGGGAAAAGAATTAATGTCAATTGTCAGCTCTTCAAATATCTTTGGACTTAAACTTGCAGTACCATATCCAGTTTGCTTTGATATTTTGTTTTTCATTCCATGTTGAAGTTGAACACCAAGCTCCAGATATAGCAGGCAGCTTGATCATCTTCGGCCTTGGTATAATATCAGTCCAATTTCCAGTGTTGGGTATATTCTAATATTCAAATTAAAATGAAAAGCAATAGGCTTTCTCAGCGCCGACGACGGATTTCACGTTGATAAAAAAGAGAGCTCAAGGTCAGCAAAACTCGGGTTCAAGGAATGGCGGGCGTTGAAATGACTGCTGACGTCATCAACAAACCGCTAATGGTTAAGAGATAGGGACTAAGCTGGTCCCACCCTGCAAGTAAAGGGAAGAAATTTCTTGAACACCATAAAGCTGCGGGCGTTGCGACCAGGATAAATGGTGGTTTCTGAGCCTGGCCGCAAACTTGGCTATCTCAACTCAAAACTAATGTTAAGGTGGGATGGTCCCTTTAATTTATTTCATCTGTTTTGTTGTTTGCCATCAAAAGATAAATATCTGAGGTAATGCGTCCCATATACCTATGATGAATTTGCTCAGCACTGTGAAATAAAATTAATCTTTTGTTGGTTGTGGTTACATGTCGTTCCTTTTTCCATGTTTTTTTTTTTGTACAACTGTTTGTTGTTACGCTATATGTAAGCAATAGCTGATTGTGAATTCTGATCTGGTCATGTTCTTGGCGTCCTTTGTGACTGCGGTCTGCGTTTGACAGGGGCGCCGGCATGATCCAGCCGAGCATGGGCAGCAAGGCGCCGCCCGGTGAGGGCTGCCCTCGCTGTGGCTTCGCTGTGTACGCCGCCGAGGCCATCCCAGTCAGGGACAGGGTGAGTGTTTTTTTATACCGGTCACCCTGGTGACACGTTCAAAGAATGAAGTCTACCCGCGTTCATTGCTAAACGGGTCATCCCGCTTTAGAAAAGCCATTTAATCGGCTGAAAAGTGTTGTTGCTACGTTGGAGAGTATTAGCTATGGATTTTTTACCAGTGTTCACCGAAGCTCTCCATCAGTATTTTTTTTGTGTGCGAAATTCGACTTTTTACGACTTTGTATCCGTATGGTCATAAAACAGTTCCTTCCATGAATTTGGTAGCGCCAGCTATCAAATATTTTAAACGTGGCTTAACAGTTTCAATTCATGCAACGACACGGAATTCAGCGCAACAATGCATTAAAAGAAAACTTATCTGAATTGCCACAAAATTCATATGTTTCATTACTTAAGTGTTTTCTTATTTCTACCACAGCCCTATTGACTTTGTAAGTGCATTCGCTGGTAAGAGTTCAGGTGTTTCTAGTCATCAAGCATCAGTATTTACTTAGCGACATCACCCTGACCAACTCTGTTGTTGTATAGACGAATAAGCATTTTGTTTTAAGACCAGTTAGATAAGAGTCAGACGAAAATAAAATTAAAACGTAGACGTTGATGTTTTTTGTCGTCTTTTTTAAATTGGCATGCGCGAGGTGAATGGCGTTAACGGTAAGAAGCTTTTCTTTTTAAGCTGGCAGGGTCCATCAGGTGATTGTAGTATCAATTGTCGATGAAAGTTGAACATTACCTGCTCGAATATTTTTACCTCTATTTTGTTACAGAACTACCACAAGAAGTGTTTCAACTGCAAGGAGTGCTCCAAGAACATGGACTCGACGAACGCCTGCAACGGCCCGGACCTGGAGATCCACTGCCGCACCTGCTACGGCAAGCTGTTCGGCCCCAAGGGCGTCGGCTTCGGCATGGGTGCCGGCGTGCTCAGCATGGGCTAGGCGTGCGCCGCAGCGTGGTACCGCCGGGTGGGGAGACCGCCGCTGCGGCGGCGGGCCGCCGAGCCGCACGCTGCCGATACGAGCGACACGAGCCTGACGCGCCGCCCCGCGCAGCGCGGCACCATGGCACGTAGTCTTCCTGTACATAGACTCGGACTAACATGGTGCTCCTAGGTGGCATGGGGAGCCGCGCTGCGTGGCGGCGGTGTCCGTGGGCCAGGCGCGGCGACCGGCTGCGCGACGCGAACTGAGCGGGCGTCACCGAGCGCGAGGCGGCGGGGACGTGTGCGAGCGGGCTGACTGAGCGAGCGAGAGAGAGCTGCCGGAGCTATGATGCGCGCGCCAGCGCGAGTGGAGCTGTCTGGGTGCCGACCGTGCTGGCAGCGTCTGTCCGCGAAACGGACCGGGGCCGCGCGTGCCGGACGGTGACATACGCGCCCTCTGCCATTGATGAGTTTCTCTCCAGCAGCCGGCTGGAACTGCAAGTCGCTCAGCTTGTTTGGACTTCAGTTTCAATATTAACACAAACGCAAACTGTTCCATCGCTACTTGTTGAGATATAAAATGAATAAAATACAACATCTGAGAACTGTTTGTGCATCTTGCAGTTGTTCTAATCGCTGTTACATCTCGGGAGACAGGTACGCAATACGCATGCCTACGTCATATGAATTCAATTGGCCCAAAATTAACGTATATAAGAACGTTTCTTTGCCTCCAAAGTTGAATCACTAGTGTAAAAAAGGCTCACCATAACGTTACACCGTTTAAAGGTAGTGTGCCACCTTTGAAAGATTTCCCATTTTATTTTTCCTAGGATAAGAAGCTTCTGTTTTTACCTAATATCGCAAAAAAATCAAAAAATGGGCCTGGAATAGTGCCTTTTTCGCCTAAAAGTTTTTCGGTTTTTAGATATGTATAACAGCTGTAGTGGGCTCACCTGTAAACAGGCGTCGGGCAACAATCGCGAATGCGGCGCACTTGTGACAATAAGCAAAGGTCATTATAGTGTTACGACCATACGACGTACGGGAATGAGTTATCAGCTGTCTAATCGTAGACAACACAATGTCGAGCCTTAAACTGTAAGCCCGTATTGGTATTGTTTCTTTTATTTGGCTGTCGAACATTATTTATGGTTTGAAATATGATTTTATGTAAAATAATTGATATGAAAAAGCCGTCTTATAAGTTATGACCCCATTTCACCACACGCAAGTGGCAGAAATGACAATGATCAGCTGACGCATTTTTCTTGGCCGAAGTCAGAGCGCGCGGCCCGACGCACCACGCGTATTTGGAAATTCCGACCTCGACGAGCATCAGAAGCCACCTAACAGGCGTGTTCGAAACCGCAGGAGATGATGATGAACGGGTTTATCGAAACTTGATTGGATGAGCATATCGGTAATAGCGATTTCAGTGTGTGCATTTATTGTTCATAGTGGTGTGAAATGTGGTTGGGGTACGACCGACAACCCGTCGGGGCGAATTTCGCACTGGGGTACTCAAAATTTGAAGAATTTAAGACGTTTCCATGAGTTTTGAAGGTATGGATAAGTTCTAAAAATCCGGTTCTCCTTATCTGGGCCATTAACTCCATACGGTCCAAGAAAGCTGGCACACTACCTTTAACAAGGTCGGATGGACGGGATTTGGTTTTCAATGTGTTGGTTTCTGACAAGCCACATACGTAAATTATACGTGTTGGGCACAAACTCGTACCACATAGGTCCACAACAAAATGTCAAGGGCGAGGCAGTCGTCGTCCCCCATCACACTACACGATGTGCACGATGTTTTACGTCAGTGTAAGCCAGGATGTGGTGTGGAGTCCCTGACATCTCCACCTGACCTTTGCACTGGTGTCATGAGCCTCTGTGACGCAGTAAGGTCTGTGACCGGACCTGCGAAATGGCGAGGGTGAGACAGGGGTGAAGGGGCATCGGAGCGAGAGTTGTCTGCGACCGGATCGCTGTGACATGACGCCAGACAACGGGGAGGATTGGCATTATCACAGGGTCAGTCCGGGTAAATTTGTATTCTGTTGGGAAGATTCCCTGCTTCCCCATCACGACAAATACAGTAGGGGAGAGTGGGGTAATTTGGCCGCTCTTTTTAGAAAACGATGTAACTAAAAATCGACAACACATTTCTGCATTTTCTCAACGCTGACAGGTGTGGCATGCATTTTACTTTCTTGGACAGTAAACTTGAAATGATTGAGTAACTACTTATATTGAAATTGTGGCGTATTACAAAGGTCTGCAAAGCGGCCAAATTGCCCCACTAGCAGGGTTATTTGGCCGGGGGTGTGGGGCAATTTGGCCGGTGTTAGTTTGAGGCCTTGATTTTGGTTATAGGCGAGTCAGCTTCACATTCAGCAATGACGCGTGTCCTACGACGCATTTGAAGCATTTTGGAGGTTGACTCAGCCGTCACAGGGGTCGAAAATAGTCAAAATAGCGGCTCTAGATGCGATGACAGTTTTTTACGAATAACTTTTGAAGTAATCAAGTTAGGGCAAAACTAAAAGTACCATCGTAATTCTCTCCTCATTACGCATCGAAACATGTATGTGTTGACCTCGAAAGGTCAAGGTCAAGGTCAAGGTCAAGGTTGGCTTCAGGTCACGTTACCTCAGGTCGTTTGACCTCAAGGTTACGTGAGTTCAAGGTCATCATGTATATCATTCGATGCGCCTTGACGAGCTGAACACAATGAGACCATTTGCGCGGCTGTATCTTTTTTTCTGTTAGTTTTTATTAGCAAAAAAGAGTTAGGTAACCTTTGATGACGTCACATGCCCTTACAGCTGTCCAATAGGAAATATGGCATCAAGGTAGTCAAAGTTGGTCATTAATTATGTCCTTTATGGTATAATTGACCATGACAATTCGGCCGTCCCAGCATAGTGACTCTGAGCGCACCGGCCAAGTTGCCCCGCTAGTCCCGGCCAAATAACCCCACGTTGCCATTCTGAAAATTTTTGTCTATAAAGTCGTCATGGCTGTATAGAACTAGATGAAATTGCTCTTGGAACCGCTGAACACCCTCAAAAATGGCGCTATAATGTTGGAATTCGTTTACAGCCCAAATACTACATGTTATACAAATTTTTAAACGGAAGTAAAAGTTACCATTTTCTTACGTAATTCACCTGTTGTTAATTTTGAATAAAACTAAGAGGGGGAAAGCTTTGACATTTGCTCTCGAGTTAGTTCTGCCGATGACAAATGAATAGAGACTTAAGTTATTTCATTCACTTTTATCAGCTTTCGTACAGGTGGGGGCGGCCAATTTACACCACCGGCCAAATTACCCCACTCTCCCCTACACATTTCAGCTCCACTGTCCTTGCGCAGCTATCAACGCAAATACCTAACCGGCCGTTGTCATGTACATTTTTTTTCGGAGTCACCTGACAACGCCTCCAAATATCAGGTGCATATGTATGTCAAGTGTGATCAAACGATTGATTCATAGTTGTAATTTATTTAGTTTTTAGCCGGTGAATTCACTTAGTTGACATTGGTAGATCATCATCTAGCTTTCCCATAGCGATGCCATGTATTCTATGGGAGTAGGGTGACATTATACTTTCAGCAATACTTCCCGCTACATTTGTAGCTACCGCAGTGCTTACCGTAGCATTTCCGTTTTCCGCAGTACTTTGTGTGGCAGGGGGCTCTGCAGTTTTTGGTGCGACATTCGCGCTTGACGCAAACCCCGCGATCTCCCCTGCGCACGCAATGATGGTACTCATCACAGCTGACCTTTGCACACGGGTTGATTACCACACAGACGCCCACGCTTCCTCGGACTTCGCAGCGCTCGTGGCTCGAGCAGCTGACGCTCACACAGGGGTTCACCGACACGCAGACACCCACGCTGCCGCGCTGGCGACACTCCATGCCGGAGCCGCAGACCACTTTGAGGCAGGGGTTGACGGTGACGCAGATGCCGTTGTGGCAGCGGGTGCCGGACGGGCAGCGCACCAGCACGCACGGGTCGATCGGCACGCACTCGCCGTGGACACACTTCATGCCCGTTGAGCAGCGCACCAGCGAACACGGGTCGGTGCTGATGCACGCAGGTCGACCGCCGTTGCTCACACAGCGCTGGCCAGTGCCGCAAGAGATGACGGCGCACGGGTCGAATGTGACGCACACGGCGCGCCCGCCACGCACCTCGCACCTCTGGCCGGCGCTGCAGTCCACCTGGCGGCACGGGTTCGGCAGCGGCTCGCAGACGCCCTTCTTCTGGTTACATCGGGTGTGGGGCGGGCAAGGAGGACAGGTGCGAATCGCACTCGGCCTGCAGTGGCCTCTGCCGCCGATGACTACACAGACCAGCTTGGCACTGCAGCGGACCAGCTGGCACGGTTCCACCTGGATACAGGTGGCCTTTCCCCGGTACACAACGCACTGGAACCCGGCCTGGCACTGGAAGAGACTGCAGACGTCCACTCCCGGAGTGGAAGCCGCACAGAACGCCTGGCCGGAGTATTCCACACACACCGTGCCGGGTCGACAGTGAACTCCGGCGCACACGTCCACAGGCCTGGGGAACTCCAGACAGAACACCTGGTTGGCGCTCACCACGCATTCTGTGTAAGCGGGACACTTAACGGTCGAGCACAAGTCGCGGATAGCCGGCGGTGTGCCGCGCACACACACTGCCTCGCCGTTTTGCACTTCGCAGCGGGTGTACTCGGGACAAGTGATCAGCTGGCAAAGGCCCACGCACTTCGGTCGTTTCTTATCCAACACGCACCTATGCCCCGAGCGGCACTTCTTGAGTGCGCACGGGTCCTTGATGAGCACGCAGACGGCGCCGTAGGGCTTCCGGACGTGGCAGCGATGTCCTGCGCCACACATAACCTTAGCGCAAGGGTCGGGCGGTGGCTTTACCACCGGATCCACCACACATTCGGCCATTCCATTGCGGACGATGCAGCGTCGACCTGATGAGCACTTGGCCTTGGAGCAGGGATTGACGCAGACGGCGAGACCTCTCCGCACCAAGCATTGCTCGTCTTTTCCGCAAACGAAGTCGGCGCACGGGTCGATCAGCGGCTCACCTTTGACACACACCGGGAGGCCATTGCGTAGCTTGCACTTGGTGTTGCCCTTGCAGTGAATCAGCGCACACTTGCTTATACAGATGCCACGCCCGTTTGAAACGACACACTCGGTACCAGCAGCGCAGTACTTCAAAGAGCAAGCATCAGATGGAGGCATGGACTCGATGCAGCGTGGGATGTCGCCACGCACCACGCAGATTCTGCCTAACGAGCAGCTGAAGGTGGCGCACGGGTTTTTGACGAAGCGGATCCACACGCAGAAGGCCTTCCCGTCACGTTCCACGCACTGCGAACCGAGGCCACAATTAGCCAGTTCACACAGGCTGGGATTCAGCAGGGGAATCGGACGGCACACAGCTGTCGACTGCTGTGGGGGACACAGGCCATACCGTTTGCAAGCCTTGCCGCGTAGCATCTCACATCTCTCGCCAAACCTACACATTGGTTTGCAAGCAGGAACACAGGATCGTCCACAGCCGTAGTCGCAGCATTTGTAGCCGGGCTCAGAACAGTCCGAGTCCTGCGAGCAATGATCGTCCGGCAACAGCGGGCACTTCAGAACCGAGATGGCGTCGTTGTTTGGGCACTGGCCAGGTCGGCTGGCTGTGGGCAGCTCTTTGATGGGAACTGGACCACCCCCAGAACATCGCACCGGGCATAATATCTTGGCCGAGATGGGACACAGACCACACTTCTTAGTAGCCGCCTCTGTAAGAGAAATAATTAATAAAACCAAATACATGTTGTAACACGATTGACGCCCTATTTTATAAGAAACAACTGCCAATTAACAACTGCACCAAAAATATGTCCACTAAATTTAGCAGCTCGCGCCCTGCTGCGAAAGAGTTGTTTGTACTTACATCTATTGCGATTTTTCACGAATATCTAAATCGCGAAATCTAGCACGCATTAATTGCCCATATTACCCATCCGAGAGTCAGATTGAGCCAAGGGACAAGCCTAGATGCAGCTCATGCCCACATTAGCCCAGATGGGTTCCATTTGGAAGGGGTGGCTAGGGTGGCCCTCAAAGATTCGATCCGTCTGCCAGCCAAAACTTCTACTGCTATCAAATGCTTAGATAAATTCTCTATAAGCCGATATGCTTCTTCACGCTGTAGCCTTGCAAACCTGAGAACGAACCCTGAATACGAACCCTAAGTGACTATGTGAAAGTAAAGTATGTGATACATGTTTTATGGTCATTTTACATGACAAATGCAATTATGTGGGTCAGGAAGCCTTTGGAGCAAGTTTAGCGTATGTTCTGGTGAAGGTCAGGTCAAGATCAGGTCAAATTAGGTCAAATTTCAAAGTTGATATTGTGGCATAATTTGGGTATTGATTCGATGCAGCTCGTTACGGGGAGTCTAATGGTGGTCTTTGTTTTGCGCTACGTGGTCTAGAACTGCTAAAAAGTGAGTTTGCAAGTTTGGCGTCATCAATTTTGAACGGTCTTTTTTTTCGCTATACCTACGCATACGATATCGCTATCGCTATACGCTATACGCTATACGACTGGTTCCGGCGAGAGGGGGCACCTGTATCCTCCTCACAGGGGAGCACTGCCGCTTCAACCCTATTGGCCGTAGTGTCTAACGGTGGCGGCCATATTGCGCAGACCAGGAACCGGCTGCCGCCTGTGCTGAGGAATAGGGAATTCGGGACCTCGATTTACGTTTGCGGCCGCCGTATCCGTTACGATCAAGTAACGTAGATACGGAGCCCGGCATCTTACGCAGAATTGAGTGGGGAACACGATCGTATCTTCAGAATTCCTCGAATTCACTCTCCGGACCTACATTTGCCCCGGCCGAGGGGGTTGATTGAACCCACCTCGCTAATGCGCCGCTAATTAAACTAGAATTAAGCGGTAAAGTGGTCGTATGCGGCAAAGTATAATGCAGAGTGACTGGTGGGAACCCGGTTTAAAGGTCTCAGGTCAACCGGTGACCTCTGAGGTCAGGTCAAGTGATCTAAGGCACGGGTTTGGTTTTTGGTAAATAAATGCGCCAAAAAATGGCCGTAGAGCCGCGATTTTGGCATCATCGTGTTCAACTAGCTCAGGCGCATCGAGTGATATACTTTTTGTTCGGGTCAGGAGACCTGGAAGAAGCACGCCCACCGGTACCAGCCCGTAACGATGACAGAGATGTTGGCGTTCACAGGGATCTGTGTGTTGAGGTCCTTCTTCACGGACCTCACGCTGAAACAAATCTATGACGCAAAACTCGGGCCACCCGCCTTCAAGGCCACGATGGGAGCAGGCCGATATGGGACGCTACTCCGGTACATCACATTCGACAATGTCACCTCGAGAGAGGAGAGAAGGAAAGGGGACAAGTTCTGCCTCATCCGCGACATCTTTGAGAGGTTTGACGCAGGCCTCCGAGTTCAATTCTTGCCATCAGAGTGTATAACGATTGACGAGAGCCTCCTGCGCTTCAGAGGACGCTGCCCATTCCGCATGTATCTCCCCAGTAAACCAGGGAGGTACGGGCTTCTCTTCCGGGAGGCGGCGGACGCAAACCACCGCTATCTATTGAAGGCGTGGCCCTATTCGGGCCGCCCGGCCGCCCCGGAGCTGTCACCGCCGGGTGTGCAGCTGGACGGGATGACGGAGACGGTGCGGTACCTCGTGCAGGAGGTCATGGGCACGGGCCGTAACGTCACCCTAGACCGACTCTACACCTCCGTGCCGCTCGCCGAGGAGCTCCAGGGTCAGCGGCTGACGGTGGTCGGAACGCTAAACAAAAACAGTAAGCTCCTGCCCGCCAAGCTCACAGACGTCAGGGGACGATAGCCAGGAAGCAGCCTCTTCTGCTTCAGAAACGGGGTGACTCTCGTGTCACACTGCCCAAAGCCTCGGAAACTCGTCCTGGCGCTGTCGACTCAGCACGACGCTGCTCTCGTGGACGTCAGAAGACGAAGAAGCCAGAAGTAATACTCTATTATAATGCAACGACGTCGACTCCATGCTCGAGACATGCATGGGAAAGCCGACTCTGAAGCGATGGCCGACTGCGGTATGGTTCTTCATGCTCGGCATCGCCCAGGTCAACGCCTTCACCATACTCCATTTCAACCGCGGTGAAGACGTCAACGGGCGGGAGATGCGACTCGCCCTGGCCGAACAGCTCATGGCGCCTCGGCTTCAGGAACGAGTGGCCAGTCCGGTTGGGCTGAACGCAGACACACTGGCTGCCCTGGCAACCGTCACCGGCAAGAGTGCGGCTCGCCCGCGACCGGTCACGCCCAGCGAGCAGGCAGCGCGGGGGCGGTGCGTGACCTGCCTGAAAGAGATCAGCGGCGGGCGCGGCTCCGGCCACCGAACAGCCAAGGAGAAGATGCCGAAGTACCCGCCCTGCAGTACGTGTCAGGAGTTCGTGTGTAATGTGCATAGCACGAAAGTCCGCGTGTGAAACGAGTGCAAGAGTGATTAGTAAACACTGGTGATGAGAACCCTGCCGGTGTGCGTATATGTGTTGTTCCAAATACATGTAGAATGTGTTGTTACCATGATCAGTGAGAACGGCCATGTTTGTAGCAGCAGTGATCAGAAACGACCATGCGATGTATCGCTATTCCACCATTTTCTAGTGTCACTGGAGGTGTGTAATGTCGCTTCAGATAGATGTGCCATGGATTGTTTGTAACACGTAAAGTGCGCTCGTGTTTCGCGGACATGAGTTTATGGTTTGATCTGGAAATACCTTTTCTTCTTTACAATCATGAACTTTTTTCTTGGCGGATTGGGAGCATTTGAAATGGGCCCATTGTCGCAATGGCATGGATATGTTGACACAGGTGAACATATATATAACAGTCAGGTCAAGGTCAGGTCAAAAAGGTCAAATTTCAAAGTTGATAGTTTTGCATAAAATGAGTTCGATGCAGCTCGTCACGGGGAGTCTAATGGTGGTCTTTGTTTTGCACTACGATGTCTAGAACTGTTAAAAATAGAGTTTGAAAAATTGACGTCATCAATTTTGAAGTTTTTCGCTATAACCTGGCCAAAAAAGAGGCATCGATCTCAAAATTGGTATGTAGATAGACGGCGGTAGGGACTATCACATATATTCCGTTTTTTCGAAATTCGAAAAACGTTTTGGATTTTTCGGCAATCATATTCAAAAAATCTATTTTTTTTTACTTTTGGGGGTCAAAATCCAAAAATTTCAAAAATTCGAGATAGCAGTTTCGTAGCCCTTTTGATTCTACACCTTTTATGTCTTAAATATTTTTCTGTATCTCTAAAGCTGTAGGCCTGACGGCTCTTCCCGCGAAACCCTTTTTTGGGGGTCGAAAATGGCAGAAATGACGTCACTCTGACGTCATTAGCGGCCAACCTATCATAGCCTTTGGGGAAAAAAAATCATCACAATATGCGATAGCTGTTCACGGAAGGGTACTGAAAGTTTGGTGACGATCGGCGCAGCGGTTCTGGAGATATATCGAAAAAACTAAAGGGAGGGCAAAAAAAATGCCCCCCCCCCCCCCCCACCGCCTGGAAGGTTAAGAAGGTGAATGTAGAACCTATATCGATGAAAAGTCTGGACAGCAAACAGATAAGGGCCCTCTTCGTGAAGGTCATGCAAGCGAACGGGCAAGGAGGGACCATCATCTATATTAATGAAACCAACATGAACCTGTTCTTACGACGCTCGCAAGGTCGTTCTCTCCGAGGCACGCGCTGCTCAGTCAAAGCGGCGTACGCTAGGGGACCAAACAATACATCCATGTGATAGGCGCTGTTAGAGCCGCATGGCCCCCATGAGCGGCGGTGCCGTTGCGACGCCGCTCAGCCGCGGTGCCCTCCATCTATGGTAACTGAGCTATGTTGCTATGGTTACCGGATTGTTTTGTTTTGTTTACTTTCTTTCGGCTCGATTTTGACAATGTATGGATAGAATCTGAATAATTACGAAAGATAAAGACGAAATATGTGATTGATGACTTGCAAAAATGTTGTTTGAGTGAAAAAGAAGAATTTTGACTATGAATTCAAGCGCGAACAGGCGCCATGTACCAGACAGGAGCGAGGAAGAGGTTCTTTTTTTTTGAAAGGATGACTGCGGAGAATGGTTGAGGCGCGCTCTCGAGGTCTGCCCAACACCGCTGGACCAACCCACTCAGGGGGGCGACACGGCTATTCGCGCAATGTATTCAGTTATGAGCCGCGCGGGGACTCGGTATGACGCGGCTGGAGGCAACTGCTCAGCGCGCTAGGATACTTCTGGCGGGACCGGGCGCTGAACGGTGTGCAATGAATGGGTTATCGGCGGGCAGACAGAGATGAGGTATTGAATTTTAATTGACATCAGCAATCGGCTGGGGAAGGAGAACGTTTCTAATCGAGCTTGGGCCGGGAAAGCCGAAAATGTCACGATCGGCTCAAAGCTGCGTCAGGGCCGGGTGCCGTACCATGTGTAGTATATTTAGGCGGGCAGACAGAGATGAGTTATTGGATTTAAATTCACCTTACCATCGGTTTCTGGTGGGGTTTGAAGACGTTTTTAGTTAAGCTCGGGGTGTGGCAACCCACTGGCGGATCCAGGGGAAGGCATTTGGGGCAAATGTCTTCCCCCACAACCGGGGCAGCGCCCGAAATCGCTTTTCGAGAATAAAAGAAAACTTCACAACTTTTCTGAGGAAATATCGGTTAATCACACTGCACAGCAGTACGCAAGGAATCGAAATCCGAG